TATGCCCCCCTCCCTGCCCCAGACCCCTTAAAGGGGCACGGGCTGGCTATGGTGCCCGTGCCAGGTGCAAGCCTGCCAGCACCCAGCCAGCAGACCCTGCACCTGGCACGGCACAGAGCCACCCACCCGATGTCCCCCAGCCCACCCCCTCTTCCCGGGACCAGGCTGGCGGCTCCGGGGAGCTCCCTGGACCGCAAGAGGCGGGCACCTTCCTGGGCTAGTGCGGACATCGTGACATACCCTAAGGGTTTTTGCATTGACTTCAATGGGCTTTGGATAAGTCCACAGGTACAAGACATACTATTCTTCTGCCTCATGCTGTCTTAGTTCACACTGCTCACTCTGTTTTTCATAGGAAGGGCAGGGTCAATAGCTCCCAACTGCAATTGCATTCTGCTCAATACCGTTAGTAGCAGAGCTGAGAAAATCATTTTCAAAGAACATGTTATCTGACAGATGTAACCTCACTTTATTCTCCCAGGATGTCTTTGCGAGCTTAGCCCCATTTCGTAGAACTTATTTGTCATCGGACTGCATCTGTTGATTTTTTTAATTACCTGGATTAATTAGTCCTGAACAGTTCTCAATGGACATGTTATAGTCACTATCTGAGCTAAGTTAATTAACTATGAGAGTTGAACAAGTCACATGATATGGTTATTGTTCTACCATTGGACACTGTGCAAGTACTTCCAGTGCAAACATTAGTGTTTGTGAATCTGGAATTTGATCTGTACACTTTTTATGCAAAAACTAAAGTGCACTTCTATTTGCTAAAAGAAAACAAACTTGTAAACAGAATTTTTTATATTTCTACATATTTTACAGGGTATTTGTTGCAATATACATATAAATTCTATTTTTATATGTACTTTTTAAAGGGTTACCCAAACAGCTTCGTATGTAACAAGTGAAACTGGTGTCTCTCTTCTTATTTGACAGTACCAGTTTAAAAGTGATAGCTTTAATGACAAAGGATCATCAACATATTTGAATGTAGAGCTTTGAGACAGTTCTGGGAACAGTAGCTTGAGTGAACCAGTGTAAAAAGTAACCTCTGCAAGATATATACAGCTGTTCAAGCCAGCTGCAAATGCTAGAGCAGAAGTGGGCAATAAGTTTTGGTGGAGACCCACTCCAAGGTTTGGATTTTCTGTGAAGGAGGTGCTTGCGTACAGAAGGGCACACAAGGTAAGGGACTGGGGTGGAGGAAACAGTGTGGGGCCTGAGAAGGAGTTTAGATGAAGGAGGGAGTTGTGACCTGGGTCAGGAGATTGGGGTGCAGGTCCGGGAGGGGGTCTGGGTCCAGGAAAGGATTCTGGTCTGGGGGAGGGGTGTAGAAGGGAGTGCAAGGTTTGGAAGGGAGTTGTGACCTAGGGCAGGGGGCTGCATAGGGTTTGGGGGAGGGAATCAGGATGCGGGAGGGGAAGAGGTGCTAGAGGCAGGCTCTGGCTGGGAGGTGCTTACCTAGGCATCTCTCAACCAGTAGCCTTGCAGCACCCCCAAGGCAGGCTGGGCTCCCTGCCTGCTGGAGCCCCGGACTTCTTGAAACTGCAGGCTACTCGCTCCATGTGGCTCTCAGCTATGGGAGGAGGGAGAGGCTTGTGGTGCCTCCATCCCCCAGGCCAATCTCTCAGCTCCTATTGGCTGGCTGTTTCGGACCAATAGGAGCTGAGGATTGGGCTGAGGGTGGAGAGATCACATGGAGTCTCCCCATCCCTACAGAGCAGAGGCACACAGAGCAGCCTTGCAGTGAGAACCGTGGCTGCTGCATGCCTAAGGGACCTAGCAGAGTGATCCACAGAGTGGACCCGATCGCTTGGCAGGCCGTATCTGGCCTGTAGGAGGTATTTTTACCTACCCTAGAATCTGTGAGAGTCTATTACACCTGTGATAATTTAGCTTGGCTGCTGCTTTTGGCATCAGAATCTGTTAGAAAGCATAAGTACATGTCCAAACAACTGAACAACTGAACGTTGAGTTTCAGATTCCTATGACATTGCTCTGGGTCAAATTCCATCATTTCTATGTAATAATGAGACAACGTATTTCAATCACAAAGTCACAATTAAAATAATTTGTGACAGAGTCTAGGACCTCTACTGAGCCACCATATGTCAGCTACTTGAATCTTGCATGAAGGGTTAATTTCAATTAAAAATAAAGGGGTGTGTGTGTGTGTGTGTGTGTGTGTGTGTGTGTGTGTGAGAGAGAGAGAGAGAGAGAGAGAGAGAGAGAGAGAGAGAGAAAACATAAATGAATATATCAGTGAAAATCTGCTTCATATTTCTTCCCCAATGTAAAGTGACATAATTTTGCTGAAGTAAACAAAGTGATAAGGACTGAATTTAATCCACTGACAACAATGACCATGGGTAAAGACAAATTTCAGCACCCAGGGAAAAATATAAGATTCAAGATAACTTTTGAAAAAGCGATTTTGTTACCTAAAAACCTAAATCTCATTAAAAGTTAATGGGACACAAACCATAAAAGTGGGGCTTAGATATCTATGAAAATTCTACCTTCAGTCTTAAAAAGAGGAATGGGAAAGGTGCAAAGAGTTAGACTCTGTAGTGGACTAGAACAACAGCCTTTCAGAACTGGAGATATGAGTTCCTTGTGAGAGTTGGCCAAAGGTTAAAACTATTTTGTTGGGAAAAGCATAGTCTCTTAATAGAAGCATAATGCAACAAAAACGTTTTGTCCTCAAACCAGTTTGCAACTTTTACTTAAAAACCCAGCAACTTGGACTGGAATCTTTTCATTTTAAATTGTGCCTTTACCACATGATAATCATTTTCATTCATTAACTTCATGCAAGCTATACAAAATCACAACACAAAATTTAAAGTGAAACTGCATTATTAATCCATTCTTACCTTCCTGATACCTTCTGAAGGGTTTGATACACAGTTATCTGCCCCATTATTTTTACTGATTGTCCTCCACAGTTCAGCAAATGTGTTATCTTGTTCCAAAGGGTTTGTCCCTTTTGCTTTGAAGTATTCATACACTGCTGAATCCCTGACAGTACCATAAGAAATGTCCATTTGTTTGGACAAATCTTGAAATGTTCTGAAATTCAAGAGATGTTGAAATATTAGTTTTATCTGGTAAAATAGAGATATTTTATTATTTAATGATATATTTCTATGGCTGTCTTTTCAGAGAACGAAAACACCTACATCAATCAGTCTTATTTACATGTCACTCTTTTTATCATAAAAGGAACCCACAGTGTAATTCACCTGCACTGAAATGATACAAGATTTATTTTTACCTGAGTCATTTTTTGAGGAGTAACGTTAATTCGAACCAAGGGGTTTGGTTCGAACTAGCGCATTCCGCACGCACTTCCTGGTTCGAATCAGCTGTTGAACAGAGTAACGCGCTGGTGAGATCATGCTAATGAAGTGCGGGATAGTTAAATCCCTGCTTCATTAGCAATTTTGGTCGTCTACATTTGCATCCCTAGCTCGAACTAGGGAGCAAGTGTAGACGTACCCTTAATGAAAAGGTCTAATTGAAAGATATAGCCTTCATTCCGATAGTCATCAACCTATTGAAATCATGTTGCTATGTTTGTGCAAGAGTATAGAACAATCGAGATTTTTGTAAAGCATGTGGAAAACAACTTTTAAAGGTACAAGTCAAAATCAGCTCTCATTTAAATCTGTGTAAATAGCATGTACTTCCACTGAAAATAGCGGAGTAGATTTATACCACTGTAAATTTGGGCCCCAATCAATACATAGGTTGAACCTCTCTAATCCGGCATTCTCTGGTCTGGCATGACTTTAGTTAGCTTTATGGCCGCTTATCATGGGTTTGGACAAGTTTCCATAAAGTTTGCATAAAGGCCCCATAAAGTTTGTTTATAGCCATTTGTCCTGGCTTTCAGTGTTCTGTGCTGTTATTTAGCTCTAATTTATCCCTAAGCAGTGGAAGTGTTGGTAATGCTGCTAGACAATACTGACCTCCTGTGATCCAGCAAATTCTCTGGTTTGGCACCCGTCAGGCCCCAACTGTGATGTACTAGAGAGGTTCAACTGTATTAACTTTAAATGTATATCAGGTATTACATTCCAAATCTCTTTCCTGTAACCCTCCCCTTTTCTCCTCTCACCAGCAATTTTCACACACTCTTACAATGTATCTACTTCTTATTCACACTAGTTGCTCTATATCACTCTGTAAAAAACTTAAAAAACAACAGATAGTCTTGCTGAACCTTAGAGACTAACAAAACATGTAGATGATATCACGAGTTTTCATGGGCACAACTCATTTCTTCAGATGTCATCTAGTGTCATCTGCTACAAGACTATTTGTTGTTTTTTAAGTTTTTCTGTTACAGATGAACTCGGCTACCCATCTGAAGCTTCTATATCACTCTGACAGTGCACAGGGGCCTTCAAGAATATATCTACGTGGAATCTGGAAGTGTGCCTAGATAGGAGGACACATTATCCAGCCTTGATAGGAGGACACATTATCTCCATTTAAGCAAACATGCTAAAATAGTGTTAAGAACATTATGGTACAGGTTGCTCACGGCCAACCCACAAGCATACAGGTAACACCCTGAGTATGTGCTATATAGCCTTGTATCAGCAGCCAGTCTACAGTCCCATTCTGGCTTCCATAAGCTTTGGCTACAACAAGCAAAGTGAGCCCAACATGATCCTCTATAGAATTTTCCCAAAACAAGGTGCTCTACAATGTTCAGTCCCCTCCTGGATAATCTAGAAAAATAATGTTTGTTTTTTTTCCTCTTTTAGAGACAAAAAGCACATCACAGCATAATCATTTAACTGAGATAGATACACTCTTGTCCTTAATTTCAGCTATGCATTGGCTTAGAGTACAAATAAAATACATTTCTTAACAATAGGACACAGGCTTAGTGATGCCAAGTAAAACAAACAGAAGCAGAGATGGTTACAAGCAAATAAAAGTGAAAATACTTTTTTAAAAGTCTGAATATTAATCTAGCAAGGTACAAGATTTGTTCAAGATAGTTTTTTCATTGATCCACCTTCTTCCCAGCCTTGACTAACTTTCTTTCTATCAGGATCATGGAATAAAGGTACAAGTCCATAAATTAGTCCATAGCACCTCAGGCTATCCCATCATACCCGTATTTGGTTCTGCCAGTTCTTGATTAGGTAAACTCTTATGTCCGTTCTTCTGGGTCCTATGGTTGTTACTTTTCCCTCCTCTTCTGTTTGAGCTGCTTGTGTTTCTCTTGGGTCTTGTTTCCACTGCTTCAGCTGTGTGGCTAACACCTGGCCATCTCTCCTTCAGTTGCAGCCTTTTCCACTGTAGCTCTTGAGGCCATTGCTGCTGCTGCTGCTGCTTCTGGATCATCTGGAGAACCATCTGTCTGGTCTCCTGCATGCTCTGTAGGTGTACATCTGCCCAGCAGCGTTATTTCAGAATAACGGATGTTATTTGAAAATAACATTGTGGGCATCTACACAGCAAGCCAGTTATTTTGAAATAATTTTGAAATAACGGGCAGCTTATGTTAGATTCTGTAAATCTCATTCTATGAAGAATAAAACCTCTTCCGAAATAGCTATTTGGAACAGTGCATGTGTAGACTGGGCAGCTGGAGTTAGTTCAAAATAATTGGCCTCTAGCCCTTCCCACAGGTACCCTGCTGGCTGCTCTGTCCACACCAATCAAATCTCTGTATTTTCCCTTCCCCTGCAGCCCTTAAAGTTTCAGGCAGAAAAGAAAGGGCTTGTGCCAGACAGCAGGCCCTGCTATTCCTCTGCCACATTGCAACAACCTGCATGGTGTCACTCCTGACATGAGTCACCCCTGTGCTCCATCTAAGCCCTCCATGGGTCCAGCCGAGCAGGCAGCAGGCTCCCAGGACCCTGCCAGGGTATGAAAGAGGTGCATGCTTTCCTGGTCTGCTGTGTCTCCGCACTAGAAGGAGGAACGCGGCCATCTACAGCCAGATGGCTGCCAACCTGGCCACCAAGGGCCACATCCACACCCAGAAGCAGGTGCAGATGAAGGACAAGGAGCTCTGCCAGGCCTATCCCAAAGCCAGGAGGTGCAGCTCCCTCTCCGGGGCTGAACCCCACACCTGCCCCACTCTACAGACCTGCACCACATCCTAGGGGGTGGGTCAGTCCCTTCCCTGCTGTGGGAGTGGATTCAGGGCTGGAGAATCTCATCGTTGCCCTCCCAGGGGACAGAGATGCAGAGGAGGAGGATCTGGACAAGAACAACACTGTCATCATGCTCACTCTGGAGCCAACACCCCATGCCCTGATGTCTCCCAGGCATTGTCCGAGGCCAGGGAAGGCACATCAGGTGAGTGCCATTACTTTCTGAGGCTGATGGGCAGTGAGGGGCTGGGGCATGCTCCTTGCTCAGCCTTCTTGGCATGGGAATTGCACAGTGGCCTGTGCATGTGGAGTGCCAATCCAGGACACACAGCCCCAGAGGCTACACCATAGGACCTGTGTGTGTGTGTGCAGCATGGAGGGAAGCCTAGCCAGCCCATGGCCCACCTCCCACTTGCAGGATCATGGTCTGGCTGCCACCTTGCCATGCCTGCTTGTCCCCAGGACACTCCCCCTGGACATCTGGGCCACTGCAGGAAAGGGCCCACTGCCTAGGCCACAGATGGCCTTGCTTCAAGCATATCAACGTCATCTGACCTGAGACCTTTAAGGCTTCAGGCACAGTGTCTCCAGGGATGACTGATTCTGTTCTCCAAACCTGGACCAGCTCTGAGAAGGGGCAGTAGACACTGCCCTTGGCAGCCTCCCGACCCCAAGTGACCCGCCGGTGCAGGAGAACGCGGGAGGAATTCCAACAGGAGAAAATCTATGCACTGCAATCCCTGCAGGACACCCTGGACCAGAGACTGGAGGAGGACATCCAACTGCTGTGAGAGACCTGGCAGGAGATGCTGGAGCAGGGTTGCACCATCTGCTCGGCAATACAAGCACTCATCGCTGGCATGGTGCCTGTTCCTGCTGCCACTTCTACCCCAGCTCCTGCTGCCGCTCCAACCCCTGCACCTCCCGCTTCTCCCTGAGCCCGCCTCCCTGTGGCCACTGAGGTCCTCACTTCTGATAGGTGGGACCTTCCAAGCCAGGTGACACTCCCAGCCTCTGCCCTGAGACTCTCCTCTCCCTCCTCCCTCTCTTCTCTCCTCTCCGAAGTTCTTTCCCCAGTCCCTCCCCAGTTACTTCTACCCCAATTAAAAAAACAAAGAGTTTATTTTTTCCAAACCAAAAAGTGTGATTTATTATCTCTTCAGGGGTGGGGAGAGGAGAAGGAGAAGGGAGGAAATCAACCATGGTGGTCTGTGATGGCCTGCAGGACCATCGAAAAATACCTCTTCCAGTTGATGTATATAGCTGCTCAGTGATCAGGGGCCCAGATGGGGATAAAGGTGCTATCAATAACCTCTCTTCAGTTGGGGAAGCCCATGTTAGCAAAGCCAGCAATGACAGGGTCCACGTCGCCCAGGTTGATGACCCTGTGCAGCAGGATGGTATTGATGGCCCTCACCACCTGTAAGAGACAAACAAACAGAGAATCACAGGGTTGTCAGTGCCCATGGGAGGTCCCCAAGCCCTCCCCTCCCGTTTCCCCACACATCAGGAGCAACGCCCTACTTAACCCCATCCCACGACAGGGCTTTGTGAGGGTGGGACTGAAAAACCTCCCAGGAAGTTGGCTTCCACCACCACAAACAACACTCCCCCCTTTTTCTTAGGGTACCCCTTTCCAGCATTTCACCACCCTCTTGGAGCAATAGCCGAGAGCACCATACCTGCATGACCAGAGCCCCGATGGTTGATCTCCCCATGCCGAACTGCTTCCCAATGGATCGGTAACTGTCCAGTGTGGCAAGCTTCCAGATGACGATGGTGACACATTTCTAGAGGGAGATGACGGGTTGCATGTGGGTGTTCCATCAGCTGACGGCAGAGGCAAGCGACTCACACAGCTCCATAAAGGTCTCCTTCCACATATGGAAATTCTGGAGTTACTGCTGGTCATCCCACTGCTCCATAAGAAGCTGGTCCCACCAGTCT